AGCAAAACCACCGTGCAAGGGATTGCAGAAGCGCAAGGTGGCTAAAGTGCGCACAATGTTCTAAAAGGCATGCCACGGCAATGTGCGATCCAAGCTACAACGCGCTAGGAAACAAAGGTCCGCACGAAAAGTCTAGTACAAATAAGAAGGAAGCCCCTAACGAAACAGTGCTGCAGTCCTCTCTAAAGGCAACGAATAGCAAAAACAGAGGGCCGTGCCAAGTCCTTCTACAAACGGCAAAAGCATGGGCAGAAAGTGAACAAAACCGTGTGCTTGTCCGGCTTCTCATTGATGGTGGAAGCCAACGCACCTTTGTGAGACGAGACATCTCAAAGAAACTTCACCTGAACGTTTTAGAAGAGGACCTAACGATCTTCACCTTTCGAGAAGGCGCTGCAACAGTTTCAAGAAAGTGTCGAAGAGTAGAGCTATAGCTGCGCAACCAATACAACAGAAAGGACGTACGAGTTGAAGCCCTAGAAGTCCCACAGATATGTGCTGACATCATTCACACACCACCAGACGTCACGCTGAACATACCAGAAGACATGCTGCTTGCTGATACGTCTCTCAACAACGACGAATGTGAAAACGGAATCAGCCTACTGATCGGAGCCGACCACTACTGGGACGTGGTAAGTGGAAGCGTGAGACGCCTGAAAACAGGATTGATGGCCGTCGACACCATCCTCGGTTGGACTCTACAAGGGCCCATAACCTCAAGATCATCTACTGCTATCTACTCATCAATTACTGGAGTGATGAAGGTTACGACAGCTGACGCAACTGAGATATCAACACAATTGCGATCGTTCTGGGAACTGGAGGATATCGGAATTAAGGAACAAGAAACGTCAACCAACGAAATTGCTCAATTTGAAGACTTTAAAAAGAGCGTAAAATATAAATACGGACGATACCAAGTTTTTCTCCCTTGGAATGATAAAGTTGAGATGCTCAAAGACAACATAGAGAACGCAGAACGAAGACTCCGATCACTGACTGAACGCCTCATGAAAAACAAAGCGCTCATGAGAGACTACTACACAGCAATACGGGAATATTTTGGCAATGGGTTTGCAGAAAAGGTTCAAAGTAATGAAAAAAGCGGAAATCCTGTATATTACATGCCACACCAAGCGGTTGTGCGACAGGAACGACTGACAACAAAATTGCGGGTGGTATTCGACGCGTCCTCCAGCGCTGCAGGGGAACTTTCACTGAATGACACCTTATCCAGTGGAACGAACTTAAATCCTGAATTAATAGACCTGCTGATCGAGTTTCGTACTCACAATGTCGTCGTAATAGCAGACATCGAGAAGGCTTTTTTACAGGTGATGTTGGCAAAGCAAGACAGAGATGCCTTACGTTTTTTATGGTGCGAAACTACTCCACAGCAAGGACATCACCTTCCGCCTATAACAACATTGAGAATGACCAGAGTTCCATTTGGGGCAACATCAAGTCCGTTTCTCCTGGCAGCAACGTTGAGACACAATTTCGACTTGATGAACGAAGAATTTCCCGATACCTCGAATACTCTAAAACAGCACATGCATGTTGACGACCTGGTAACTGGCGCCGATGATTTGGAAGGAGCCCAGGTACTGTGCAGAGAAGCAACAAAGATACTAGAAAAGGCGGGAATGCATCTTAGAAAGTGGAAATCAAATGAACCAAGGTTGTTATCGGAATTAAAGCAAGAAGGTTCCGGCCAAGTACCACTACCCGGACAAATTGGCCGAACAAAGATTCTAGGCATTGGTTGGGAAGCACAAGCAGACATCATCAATTTCGACATAGAACCTCTAATTGACTTTCTGTACTCACGTGAAGACAGCAAACGCTTCGTATTTCAAGCAACAGCTCGCATATTGGACCCTATGGGTTTTCTTGCTCCCACCGTGACAACCATAAAAATGCTATTTCAACGACTTTGGAAGCGAGGAGTTAAGTGGGATGAGGTGTTACCTTCAGACTTATACGAAGAATGGGACAAGTGGTGAACAGACCTCACTGGCTTGAAGGACGTCGCTGTTCCAAGACTCATCGTTCGCGACTTCAACAAAGACAAAACAGAAAAGGCATTGCAAGTCTTCTGCGATGCTAGCACAAAAGCGTACGGAGCTGTAGCGTACGTGGCATCGAAAGAGGAAGAGGGAAGAAAGTGTGTGACCATTGTAATGGCGAAATCGAGAGTGGCACCCCTCAAGCGGTTGACCCTTCCACGACTGGGAGCATTAATTGGCGCTTGTTTGGCACATTCTCTAACAAAGAAGTTGAAGATGGAAGGACTCCCAGTGTATCTGTGGACTGACTCCATGATCGTCTTTTATTGGATTCGTAGTTCTGCAAACCGGTGGAAGCAGTTTATTGCAAATCGCGTCTCAGAGATCCAAGGTCTGACGGAACCAATCAACTGGAGACATTGTCCTGGTTCAGAAAACCCAGCAGATCTTTTAACGCGTGGACTCATGCCAAGTGCTCCGGTTGAGAACAACACATGGTGGAATGGACCCATCTGGCTTCAATGCTCGGAATCATCCTGGCCAAGTCAAGTTGAGGAAAGACCAGAATGCGAAGAATACAAGGCTGAAGAAAAGAAAGATACTGTTGTTCAACTCACAATACCCGACGAAATTCATCTGACGAACTTGGAGAATTACAGTTCATTTAATAAGTTGGTTCGAGTGACGGCCTGGATTAAACGCTTCGTAAACAACATAAAACAACAAGGACAACGCAGGGGAGCGCTAACAAGCGATGAAATCATAGACGCAGAAAAATACTGGATAGCGGCTACACAAATGCAGGCTTTCCCGAAGGAAATCGTACTCCTAAAAGATCAGCAGCCAGTTGACAAAAATTCAAAAATCAAGTCGTTCAACCCAATTATTGACAGTGATGATATTATGCGATTTGGTGGTCGTTTACAATTCAGTAACAATGAGGAAAGCGTAAAACACCCAATAATTCTACCTGCAAATCACAGGTTCACTACCCTTCTCATTGAGGAAGAACATCGTCGACTGCTGCACGCCGGAGTTCAAGACACTTTGACGCAGCTACGGGAAACTTACTGGATTATAAAGGCAAGGCAAGTCATGCAGAAAGTAATGCGTCGCTGTTTAACTTGCCAAAGACAAAGCTGCGTACCTGCCTCAGAGCCGGTAGCTCCACTACCAGCCGACAGAGTTTCAAGATGCGAACCATTCGAAACTACTGGAGTGGATTTCGCGGGACCTTTGATATGTCGACATCACTACGGAAGTAGCAAGGTTTACATCGCACTTTTCACTTGGGCTCTATCTCCAGCACACGTGCCGTGCACCTCGAACTTGTGAGTGACCTATCGACAACAGCATTTTTGTTGGCGTTCAAACGCGCTTCGTTGCACGCCGAGGCATCGCAAAAACGATTTATTCAGATAACGCATCAACGTTCAAACGAGCCGCTAAAGACATCAGACAAATGTTTAAAGCAATAGAAGGAGAGGAAGCGCAGACCTACTTTGCAAATCACAGGATTAGGTGGAAAACATTTGTAGAAAGAGCCGCATGGTGGGGCGGTTTTTGGGAGAAACTAGTGAGGTCGGTCAAAGTCTCACTACGCAAGGTTCTGGGCCGTAGTAGTCTGAATTTCGAAGAACTGGCCACGGTCCTCACTGAGGTAGAAGCTGTAGTCAACTCCCGTCCAGTGACATACATTTACAACAACCCTAAAAAACCAGAGGCTCTATCTCCAGCACACTTTTTATTGGGACGTAAACTGACCACCCTTCCCCCACATCACTTACCAGCAAAAGATGAAGCAAGTTCTGGACACTTAGCGCGACGTTGGAAATATCGATGCAATATTATAGAGCAAATTTGGAGAAGATGTAGATCTTAATATTTGTTAGAACTCAGGTCAGCTCACATCACCAAACCCAACAGTTCAAGTGGTTTACAAACCGATGACATCGTCCTTCTCAAAGACGACCGACTCCCACGTCAGATGTGGAAAATCTGCAGAGTTAAAGATACTTTCCCAGGAAAGGACGGCAAGGTTCGAGCATGCAGGATTGTGCTGCCCAGTGGGGGAGAGCTCCGCTGTCCGATACAGTTATTATACCCGCTGGAATTGCAAGAATGAGCATTCGCTCATTTCGGGGGGAGTTTGTTGGAAATTATCGTCTATAGAAGAAGAGGAAAAGGAGATATACGACGAGAAAGAAGGGTCGATGACAGCTACGGTGCTCCAAAAGCAAACGGAACCATCATGTAAATATTGTATATAAATCCTTTCTTGCTCAACTAACTCGACGCAGTTGTTCCCCTAATGTAACGAAAAAAGGGGTCACGTGACCCTGGGGGACGGGTCACGTGTCCTTGGGGTGACCTTGGGAGTCACGTGACGATGCCGATGATGTCATCAGTGACGTCACTGATGACATCACCAGTGACGATGACGATGCGGACTCCGATGACGTCATCAGCGATGATGACGATGACGATGTGGATGTCAGCGACGTCATCAGTGACGTCACTGATGACGTCATCTGTGATGATGACGATGACGATGGGGATGCCGGCGAGGTCGTCAGTGACGTCACTGATGACGCTGCGGATGCCGGTGACGTCATCAGTGACGATGACGTCATCGGGGAGGTCACGTGACCTCGGCGGGTGGTCACGTGACCTCGGGGGGGGGGGGGTGTCACGTGACTTTGGGTGTCACGTGACCTTGGGGTTACGTGACCTTGGGGTGACCTTGGGGCTCACGTGACCTTGGGATGACCTTGGGGGTCGCGTGACCTTGGGGTGACCTTGGTTACGCCGACGCCGACGCCGCTCAAGCCGGGAACGGGCCCCTAAGAGCTGCGCTCTAAAAAAGAATAAAACAGTAGCTGAATGAAATAAAAAAAATGTTTTGGTTGTTTAATCATTACCTTAAACTTTGTTCGTCCAACAGTTTCACCACCAGGATGTGTGAAGAGGAGCGTTGCTTCAATGGTCTCCGGATTCCAGCCGGAATGAGTGTTCTGATTCCTGTGCATCAGATACACTACGACCCGGAGCTCTGGGGTGATCCTCAAAAATTTCGCCCCGAGAGGTACAGTCTGCTATCTAAATATTACTTACTATAAAGGCGCAGCAATATCACTCATTTCTACCATGAAAGTATGAATAATGTGATCATGTGGATATTATTAAAAGAAAAGGGAAGGACAGAGAAGAAGAGCACGGGGAAACGAGCGCACGAGCACGAAAGAGTCAGTGTGGAACAGCCAGCGGCCGGCAGCCATGACTGGGCACTTGGCTCACGCCACAAACCAGGACTGGGCTGCCACGTCGTAGGCAATGACCAGTACCGGCTTCACGACACCCGGGAAGACCGATTCCTTGGAGAGAAGTCACCGGTGTGTCAGACCTTTGATCGGTTCAAGACCGAAAGACAAGCAAAAACGCCCGCACCCCGACGCTCCAACACGATCCAGCTCCCATCCCCACTTGAAACATCCGCGGTCATCCAAGTGACAACATTGCTACTGGTTTGAATCTTCGAACTGATCCGGACATCATGAATATGCCGACTTCTTGTGTATTTTTCTATTTTTCACATTTAGTGGGTTGTTTGTTTCATATATACTGAGTGATTCGAGGAGTGACCAGGCTCTTTAAATCGACCGCAAAATTCGATTTCTTAACCTATCTCGCTACGACTTTGTGCAGCGTTGCCCATAGATGGTGGTTTTTTGTTTGTTTAATTTTTTTTTTTTTTTTTTTGTAAAATTTGCATTGATCAAATTTAATTGAGCAAAAAGTAAAGAAAGGAAAAGGCTTACCTCCTATGAAAACGCAGCGAAGCCACCGGTCTTCAAACAATACGGCGCCGCTTCGCACGGGAGACAATGGATGGCGCAAGCGGTTGCGACGCCAACTGTCGCCAACGAACAAGCATACGGCGCCGAGAGCCGGCGTCTTTAGCGCAGATGTTCGTTCCGACTAAAAGCGGCGCGCGTTCAGTGGCGGTTCCAAGGGGGGGGGGGGGGGGGGGGGGGGGGGCGGTGGGGGCGATCGCCCCCCCCCCCCCCCCCCAAACGCCTCGCCAGGCAACCCCCCGGGGTTCTTCGTCAGCTCGAAGAAAAAACGTAAGCAATCGACGCAGGATGCAGCTTGTACAACCAGGTGACCAATTGCTTTTCTTCTCAACTGAGAGAGGAAGCAAATGCTCTGGGTACAGTGTAGTCTGGGTTTGAGCTTCTCCTGAAGACGCTCCGGACTTCCCCAGGACCTTGGCTTAAACATAAGCCCGCTTTCGTTTTCGCCTCCATCCCTCACTGAGGATCAGCGCCGCAGCGCGGAATACAGAAAGAAGCCGACAAGCGCCAGAAGGGGGAGATGTTTCCTCTAATGGGCTTCATACTGCCTGCGGTACGACTTCTCATGGCGGGAAGCTATTAGCGAGTTTTAGTAGACCGTGTTTCCCGCTCCGCTATGTCCCTCCGCTACCCGGAACTCTACAACCAAGGCCATCGGCGCGCAGGCGCAGTAGCGGTTTCTTCGTAGCGGAGGGTTAGCGGAGGGGTAAACACGGTCTACTAAAACTCCCTAATAAAAGAAAGATAAACGGTAGGAGCACTCTAAAGGCTGGAGGCTGCTTACACGGGGTCCTCAAGCCGACGCCGTAGGCATTTATTTGTATACAATGCCGTTTCAACCTAGGGTGGCGGGACATATTTTAGGAAAGGCGCCCACTACTCGTTGTCTCCCCTTGGCGCAGTCTTTACTTTTCGAGTTAAACGCGGCTTCTGTGGATTGACGGCAGAGCTTTCGCGCGGCTTTGCAGGAGCGAATATGTGTGTATCGAACGGAACAGAGGCGGGGCTTGCTGGTTTCCAACTGCGGCTTCGAATTCCTTACCTAGGGACTTGGGGCAAACTAGCCCTTTCAAAGATGCAACTATACATAAATTAAATAGACAGTGCCTGTGCCCGTTCGAGTGACCACCGACTCCCAAACATCCATGCTGCAGTCGTGATCGGCCTTTAGTCCAGTTGAGATTCGCCGACCGGGCAACCGTTCTGCGCCATCATATCTCTGCACCTGTCCTCTCGACCCCTGACGAATGAGCTAACACCCAGAAACAAGTGTTCCTTTCATACAGAAAATATTTAGACGAAGTGCAATTGAATATAATTTGGAAGGATCCATTGCTGGTTTAAGGTCTTGTCTAAGTTTAAAAGTTATGGTTGCCGAACTGCAACATGCTTTCAAAAATATTCAACAATTATTCGCTTTCGTTCTCTCGAGTTGCATAAAGAACACGTGAAAACACGAGTTTTGGTTGGCAATGCCGCATGTGCTGCGCTCTGGACATTCCAAATATACGGCGAACAACCGACGAACTTGCCTGGCAGCGTTCGTTTCGCTCGCTGCGTCAACAATAGTGAGTTTTCGTAGACCGCGCTGCCCCCTCCGCTAAGCGTTCCGCAACGAAGAAGTTGCTACTGCGCCTGCGCGCCGATAGCCTTGACTGTGGAGTTCCCGCTATCGTAGCGGGTTGCGGAAGGCCTTGCGGGACGACGAAAACGATCTACGAAAACTCCCTAATGTTTTGACGCCGCGAGCAGCGTCGAAGCCGCCGGGCCATTTTTGTCGCTTGTTTGCAACGTACTCGCTCCGCTGATTTAAGCCGCTCTTCCCGTTGCCGCAGCAGTTGAGCACTAGGTCCACCCAGAATGTCTGCCAAGGCAATGTCTTTAAGCTGCCCTATATCGACTGCTCACGTAGTGTCGGTCTGAAACCCAAGTTTCAGGAAGGATAGTGCCACCACAATTTTCTAGATACTTACCTCTAGCGTGGTCACCCGAAAGGTTTTAATTCAAAGAGTTCATCTACGACAGGTAAACCGATACAAAAGCTCTCAAGATCTATATTATGTTATCAGAGTTTAGTAAAAACGATAACTCCACGAAAAATATAAACACTCCCCCCCCCCCCCCCCCCCGCCGTTTTACACCGAGGAACCGCCCCCCCTAAAATGGAGGTCTGAATCCGCCCCTGCGCGCGTTCCGCAGGCGACGACAGGCGCGGTAACAACAAGGAACGGCAAAGCAGACGACATCAGTACCCCGAAAAAAAAACAGTCAAAATATCCCGACAAACCGTTTTTTTAATCGATTATGTGTCCATTTAATATGTTTTATTAGTCAGAATGATAGAATAATGCATTGGCAACTGATATCAGGAAAGCTCGCGCCGCTTTTGAGTCAAAAACATCGTCCACTAAAGGCGCCGGCTCTCGGCGCGGTATGCTCGTTCGTTGGCGGCAGTTGGCATCGCGACCGTTTGTGCCATCTCTTGTCTCTCGTGCGAAGCGGCGCCGTATTGTTTGAAGACCGGTGGCTTCGCTGCGTTTCCATAGGAGCTAAGCCTTTTTCTTTCTTTACTTTTTCCTCAATTAAATTTGATTTTTGCAAATTTAATAAAAAAATGCACCATCTGTAAGCAACGTTGCACAAAGTCGTAGCGCGAGAGGTTAAGAAACCGAATTTTGCGGTCGATTTAAAGAGCCTGGCCGCTCCTTGAATCACCTAGTATAATAACATTGCCTGATTTCCTAGGTCTCGTCTCTGGATTCTCTTGACTTAGCGTTTCGAACCGTTATCATTACAATGGCGTCCGTGAGAGGACGAGATCTATGAAATTTCAGCAAATTGTTAATTTAGAATATTTATTGGTTATAAAACTGAAAGTGAGCGAGGAAGAAGTTTCGAGTTGCCTCAATAGGGAATTAGATAAATTTACTTTTATAGTGTTGTGAAAGATTACTTCCTTATACGGCGAGAGGATCGAGCTGAGTGAGCTGATGAGACTTTGGGAGCTGCTAGGGCTGGACAGGGTGTCATTTTGAAATTGGTCTGAAAAGCAACTTGAGCACACTAGGCTTCGTTAAGAGAACGCGAAGGAGTGCGTCCGGAAGGACCTCAAATTAAAATTTGAATTAAAAGAATGGGAGAGGAGAGCGCTGGAGTAATGTTATAGAGAAGGCAGAAAGAAAAAAAAAGTTGAAATGGTCGCGGTAACGGCACATTTCGAGGCTCAATGCCATTGCCTAGAACAGTGGATAAGCCATCTTAGAAAGCACTAAGGAAAGCGCCGCAAACTGCTAAAAGTGTAGCCAAAAATCGCGGGACAGGAGGCCTCTCGCTCGATGAGGCAACAGAAGCGAGCGCGTTTAGAGCAACTGCTGACGACTTCGATAAGCCAATTGTCCGAGAGGCACCGAAACCCTGCGAAGGTTTATGCCACGCAGAACGCGCTTTAGAGAGGGTAATGTTGGGCGCGGAGGAAGCCAAAGAATGCTGTGTAGGAGCTTAGGCAGAGCTTGCTAAAGCACGGAAGGTAGCCAAAAATAAACGCTGTGTCTAAAGGTACGTCGGACGTATCCGAGACCTGAAGTCTAAAGATACGTCGGACGTATCTGGATTCCAGAGTCTAAAGATACTTTTGACGTACCCGGATCCCAGAGTCTAAAGGTACGTCGGATGTATCCGGGACCCGGAGTCTGTGGGCGTGGCCGCGATTCGCATTCCGGTTCTTCGGGACATCAAGTAGTATACCGAATGCGTCGCCGACCCCGAGCTCAACGGACTCAACCGGCTTAACTGTTGAGTTTCGAGAGCAATGTTCGAAAGAGAGTACAAAACTGACGATACATAAAACGTCGTGTGCCGTTTCCGGCCGTTTCCTTCTCTGACGGTCGAAGTCACTGATCTCTATGACAATTGCTGGATCGCGCATCTCCGCTTGTTCGCTGCAGCGCGAGTGCGGCCACCAAACGGCCATTTTGCATGCCGTTTTTTTTTTTTTTTTTTTTTTTTTTTTTTTAGCGTTGCAGTGGCTGGCGGCAGCGTGCTAAAGACGCGTTTTCTACTCGTTCGTCGTCATTCGCCGAAGAAGTTTGTTAAGACCCTGTGAACCCGTCAAGACTTGACGTGTAAGCACGTGGAAATTTTTACGAAAGCGCACTGCCGCAAGAAAAACGCACAACTCGTCGAAAGCAAGGTTCGCCAGTCTCGCGGCGTGTTTAAAGCTTCCTTGGCACGC